GATTATAAAAAATATAGTAAAACTACTTCTAGAAAATAAAATTCAGGATACTAAATTAATCTTTAATAATAAAGAATTATAGTATAATAGATTATTAGAATAAATTAAAAATAAGTATAAATTAAGAAATAATAAGCAAATAAACTAATAATTAAAAGAGCCTATAAGTATAGTAATAAATTATAACTCGGAAATAAGAAGCTTTATAACTTTACTAGAAATAGAACTTATAATTCTATAAAGTATTTCAGAGCTAGAAAGTATACTAGAGTTTAGAAATAGTAGAAATAAAGATATTAAGCTCTTAAAAAGACTTAGTATTATAAAAAGAAATATAATAAAATATATTAAACTAATAAAGGCAAGAAAGAATTTCTTTAAAACTAGTAATAAGGTCTACTAATAGTTCTTATAAGTAAAGCAGGAAGCTTATTTATAGAATAAGTAAATAGCTTAATAGAAATAGAAGAATTCTTTATAGAAAAAGCAAATAGCTTAGCTAAAATAAAAGATTAAATAATAAAATTAAAAAGAAAATAGATAAAGAAGCTAATTATTAAAACTAGAAATAGGCTAATTCAAATATATTTATATAAAGGAAATAATTAGAACAGAGATTCAGGTAAAGCTAATAGTAATATAATTATTATAATAAATATACTATTATAAATAATAGATAGATTAAATTAAATTAATTATTTAAAGTTTCTTTTAGAATCTTTCTAGTCTAATTAGTTAGAGAATTATAAAAAGAAATTTAATTATAAGACTATATATACTATAATTATAATAATAGTTTAATTAAAAACACACCTAAAATAGAGAGCTCTAGGTAGTATAATAAGAAAAATTTATATTAATAATTTTCCGAAAGTTCTAAAGATATGAAATAATCTAGAAAAGTATTTAGCTAAAAAGTATTTTAAATCAAATACTAAATTAGAGATTAGTAACTTTAAAGATTGAAATTACTAGAGAATTATTTCTAGTAATAAAACAAATACATTTCTGATTTCTTTAAAATAAGTATTTATATATAAAATTAATTCTAATAAATATATTACTCGGTACTATTTAAGGCTAATAATTTATAAAGATTTCCAAGAAAAGACATTACTTCTATCTATATATACTACTATACTTATAATAAGGTCTTTTTAAATAACTAGTATAATTATAGCTTATTTTAATCTAAAAATAAAATAATTTAATATTATAAATATATTTATTAATATAAAAAGAAATTCTAATAGGCCTATAGTAATATATAAGCTATTAGATGGTTTTAAGATACTAGGCTATATAATAGAGGTAAATCGAGTTCTATATAAGCTATAAGACTTTTCTATTCTATAATATAAATATTAGATAAATATTTTTAAGAGAATTAGATTTTCAGGATTTAATAAAGAGCTCTATATTTATATAAATACAAATTATAAAGTCTTTATTATTTTCTATATAAATAACTTTCAAGTATTCTATTATAAGAATAATAAAATATATATTTAATTAATTATTACTCAAATTAAAAAATTTATAAACTTTATAATATATAAAATATAGAATAGTTTCTAGAAATTTATATAATTAGAGATTAGAAGGCTAAAAAGCTTTAGCTAATTTATAATACCTATATTAAAAAGATTACTAAGAAGTTCAGAATAATAAATAAGAAGTATTCTAATACTTTATTACCTAAAATCGATTTTTAAAGATATAATAATTAAGCTTATTTATATTAAATTAAGATATATTAGAAGAAAGTTAGATTATTACTTTATATTATAATTATAATTAGGCCAAATATGGCTTTTACTATTTTAATACTTTTTTAGTTCTTAATAAACCCTGTTCTAGAATACTTTATAGCTATAAATTAGGCTTTTTAATATCTTTTTAAAACCCTGTTTTTAGTAATTTAATATAATAGAAAATATAAAAAAATATAGTTATAAATTATATCTAATATTTTATATATAAATAATTCAGATATATAATTTCCTTATTTGAAAGTTTAATATTATAGAAAGGCACTTAATAAAGTATTATAACTATTTCTTTAATTAAATTAGAAATATATAGAATTATTTATATAGTAAAGGAAACTATAGCTTTCTAGAAATTATTCAGGAATTTATATTTAGATCTTAAAAAGTTCTAGACTATATTCTATAATAATAAATAAATTATTTAACTAATTATTAGAAAAAATAAAAGAATTACTATAAAGCTCTATTATATTAATATCTAGAATATATAACTATATTAAAAACATAATAAAGGCATTTTTTAAGTTATATATTTTTAAATAAATAATATATCTATAAATGAACTTATAAAAAATCTATTTTAATTTAAATTCGAGAACTTTAGAGCTTTATTAAATCTTTAAAATATTAGAATAAAGATTAAAATAATTAAATAATATAAAAAGAGACTTTTATTTATATCTTTTATTTATAAAATCTATTAAAATAATAGAGCTTGAGAGCTAATAATAAGAGATCTAAAAGTACTCTATTATAGTATTAATAAGCTTATATAAAAGACTCTTTATCTAATTAGACTACTTTTTATTCTTTTTAGTAGCCTTTAAAGCTTTAGTAAAAGAGATTTTATTACTATTCTCTTTATTAGATTTAGTAATCTCAAGTATAATATAAATAAAATACCTAAAAGCAAATAAATGCTTTAAAAAAATCAGAATCTATAAAGAGAATCAAGAAAAAGAAACTTATAGTATTTTTAATAATTAAGAATTTAGTAAGAAAGAGCTATATAATAGAAATATAAGAGATTAGAATAATAAAATAAAAATAACTAGAAATATACTTCTAGTAATAAGAACCTCTACTAATAGTATTATAGTAAGAACTATTACTCTTATTCTTTAGAGCAGAAAAAACTATATTAAATTAAAACAAGCTTTGAAATAGTATAAAGAACTTATAATAACTTATATAAGAGATCTCTCTAAAACTAGTATAAGTAAAACAAGAAATATAAGGTTTTAGGGCAGTTTTTTTTACTTTTAATAGAAAAGTATTAGAAGTATTAGAAAATATTATAGGAATCTAAACCTTAATATTCTATTAAATATAAGCTTTATATTAATAGTTAAGAGCTATATCTATAATAGTCTTGCAAGCTACTTAATATTATCTAAAGTTAGTAAAAAGTAAAACAAGAATATATTTTAGATTAAAAATACCTTGAATTTGCGAGCCGGAATCGATTTAATAATAGTATAAAAAGAAATAAAACCGATATAAGCCATATTTATAATAATTAGAAGCTTGAAAAGAGAGCTCTAGAAGAGTATTAAAGAAGAGCGGTTTAATTAGAGGCTCTAGAATTAGGGGAAAAGGGGGGGCCTTTTATAGAGCTCTCCTGAAATTCGGTAATTTGGGAAAATAATATATACTAAGCCTATTTGGTTCGGAATATTAATACAGCTTTATAAAACCCATATATTAGACGATTTTCGCTATTTCAAAGCTCTCTAATTAGGTAAAACAGGTAAAATATAATATCGTGCCTTCCTAAAGAATATATTATAGTAAAAATCACTAAATTAGGGCTAGTATAATTGCTTTACTTAATCAGGATTTATATATTTATTTCCTGAAGCTTTATATATTATTTAAGCTCTTTTCTAGCTAGTTTAATTAATTCTTTTACTATTTAATATAACTCTCTATTCTATAATCTTTATATATATTACTATTATATAATTCTTATAACTAATACTCTTTAAGAATTGTTTTTATATAGCAAATTTCTTTATATTACAAATTCTTTTAATCTAGCTCGAATATTAATCTTAATATTATTTAATCTAGTTCTAATTCTTATAAAGAAGTATTAATACAAGTTACCTACTTTAAATATCTATTTTATAAGAATATATAGGCTATTATTTAAGTAAATAATAGAAAGATTTAATAGAAAAATAATATAATTTTTATATCTTTTAAATCTCTAAATTAGAAAAACTACTTCTAGCTTTATAAAATAAAAATATCTAATTAATATTTCTAATATCTATATAATACTCGATTTTAAATTAAAGAATAATACTTTAATTAAAGCTATTAAGGAAATACTAATAATAATTATAAATAAAAAGACAAATATTTTATTCGAGTACTTATAATATCTTTATTATAAAATACTAGTAATTATTCTTAAATAAGCTAAAGATTTAAAAAATTTACTTTTATATATTATATATCTTATTCTTTATATATAATAAACCTTTAGAAAGCTTAATTATTTTGGGTTTAATTAATAATAATATTAAATACCTTAATTAATTATTTCCTAGAATAAATTAAATATAATAAGTTTTTAGAGCCTATAGAAAATAACTAATATTTATTTCCTAAAAATTATATAATATATAGACTTTTATAGACTAGAGACTATTTCTCTAAATACTAGTTTATAAAAGAAATTAAAAATAATAAGAAGTCTCTTAAAAAAGCATTAATAACTCTTTAAAGAAAAAAATAAATTCTTTAACTTATATATTATATTACTAATTATAGTAATTTAGTAATTTATTAGAATAGTATTATATATATATATATTTAGTAAATAAAAAAGCTTATTAAAGAGAAATCAAATAATAAAATAATAAAAGAAATTAGTAATAAGAACTATAAAATATATAATACTATATATAAAATAATTAATATAAATATAAAAAAGAACTAAAATAAAAAATAATATTTCTAAAAAAGATTACTAGTAAGTTATTTATATATTAATAAACTATAATAGTAAAATAACTAGTTTTATATATAAAACTATCTATATTAAAAAGAATTATAGGCTATAATAAAATAGTTTATAAAAAATAGAAAATACTAAAAGTTTAATATATAATTTCTAAATTATTATTAAGTTATTAAAAAATATTTCTTTAAGCTATATTATATTTACTATATTTTTTTTTAATAAACTATTACTTATAAAAGCCCTTTATTTTAAGGCTTTATTTCTGTTACGATAAGGTGATATTGCAGTGGTGGTAAAGAGCTTGAATTGAGCTGAAGGCTGTGTACCGGGCTAAAAGCACTGGCTACACGCTAAGTCACGTGCAGTAGCACCACGTGACTGGTGCCACGTAACAAGTCCCCCCCTTTAGACTTCAAAAGACGACGTCCTCGTCGCAATACAGCCATTCTAGGCTACCCAAATAAGAAGTCCACTAGTATGGAGCGTCCTTCTCCCCCAGGAGCTTGCATCTCACTCCCAGGGCCCTGCAAGACAAGCAAGCAAGCCATGGTGACGTGTATCCCAAAATATGCCCCCCACTTGTGTATTGCCTCCTTCCCTACCACACTCCTTGTTCGCGCCGTATCCAGTCTTAATAGCCTCCCAATTGCGACCACCACGTATGCCTTGTGCCCTAATATGGAGGGACACTAGCCAAGTACTGCGTAAGACTTGGGGAGGTGAGGAATCGGACGACTCTGCCGGTGAGGGTGTGAAGCGTGGCAGGAAGCTCTCTCTGCAGGGGCGAGGGGAACATCGCTTTGTTGCTGTAGTAATTCGTACCGTATCGCGAGGCTCAGTAAAGAGGTCGATTTCGATCGTAATTATTGCATTGCTACCATATGTCACGATAAGGTGATGTTGCAGTGGTGGTAAAGAGCTTGAATTGAGCTGAAGGCTGTGTGCCGGGCTAAAAGCACTGGCTACACGCTAAGTCACGTGCAATAGCACCACGTGACTGGTGCCACGTAACAATTTCTTAAGTTTTATTTACTAGAATAGTAAATAATTATTAAAATAATAATACTTTAGTAAATCTACTTTTTTAAGATTTATCTGTTTTATACTATTATATCTTTCTTTATTATAGATTAATTTTAAGCTTTCTAGAAATTGCTTTCTTTACTAATATTAATAAATTTATCTAATATAAGGCACGTAATAGCAGGGTAATATATAAGTAATTAAGGTAAGTATACTGCGGAGTAATACTTATAAGTATAACTAATTCCAAGAATTAATTCTAATAAAAGACTAATTAATACTTCTCTCTAAAGCTAGAAGTATCTCCCTATATATTCCCTAGTACTTAGCCAGGCATATAAAGCCCTTTATTTAATTAGGAAATCTTATGCGATCTATATAATTCCAATTATAAGCTATACCTAAAATAGGAAACTAGATCTATAATATCTAATACCTGTTTATATACTATTACATGTACCTATTATATTAATTTCCTCTCTAGGCCCTTATCCCTAAGAGGCCTAAGAAAACTACAAATAGCTTTATAAATATTTCCCTAAAACTTTCCTGGCTACTAGCTTTCCCTAAAGACTTCCTATAATTATCTTATTATTATGCCAGGTAATGAAATTAAGGATATAGTTTACTAACTCTTCTTAGCTAGTTCGTAAATTATTTCTAGTAATTTCCTCTTATAAAGGTAATATAAATATAGTATATACTATTAGATATAAAGCTTATCCGATCTCCTAATTAGTTCGTAAATCCTAACTTAGCCTCTATTCGCGAATAAATTATTACTCTATAGGCCTAAGAGCTTAGAAAAGTTAATCTGATCTTCTGGTTTATTTATGAATTCTTTTTTTAGAATTTTCCAGATATTTCTAGTATAAAGCTAGTTCTGAATTCGTAATTACTATTCGGGGAAAATGCATTATAAAAAGGCCTCTCTTTTCTTACTAATTAACTTTTCTTTTTCTTAATTATAATACCGTATCTAGCTTCTCCTTATTTCTTGCCTTTCTTCTTTAAGCTTTCTTTAAGCTTCTTTAAGCTTCTTTAAGCCTTATTTAAGCTTTATTTAAGTTTCTTTCTAATTCCCTCTTTTATTTCTTTATTTATTAAGATAAATACTTCTTTTAGTACTTATTAGCCTATTACTATCTATTTAGCTAATACTTTTATATTCTTAATTTGCCCTTATTATCTTTAATATTCTAAGAATATTACTAAGTTTCCTAATCTTACTTATATTAAGAGTAATAATTACTTAATATATAATTACTATTATTCTAAGAATAAGAAATATAATTCTATAAGTTATAAATTTCTTTTTTTATTTCTTATTCTAATATTATCTAAGGTTTCTTAAGTATATATAATATAATTAAACTGCCTTTTTTAAGCTATTAATATATATAAGTATCTTTCTTATTCTTTACTCAAAAAAAAAAGGCTATTATTACTTTTCTTCTATATTAAACTATATATACTTCTTGTATTAAAACTATTATTTGAGGCTAATAAATTCCCCTAATAATTCAAGAAATAAGTCAAGTAATTCTTACTAGCTTAGTATAAGTATAAAGTATTCTTAATAATATAATTAATATTTTTTAGTATTAAATAAGCTTACTTTTTCTTTATTTCTTACTAATAGCTAATAGCTTTATAGGCTAATTTACTACTTATTTCTCGAGAGAATCCTAATAAGGATAATAATAAGGATAGTAAAAAGTAGTTATAAGAATAAGGTATTTATAAGATATAGAAATTAGAGTTTTTAATAATTTTTATATAGTTTTTCCAAGAATAAATATATAGTTTTTTAATAGTTTCCTAATAAAAGCATTTATTTTTTACGCTTTTATTTAGCTAATAGTATTATAATATTACTTTTTTTCAAGTATTTTTATAATTCTTAAGCTATATTCTCTAGATTACTTAGTAGTTCTTATATATTATTCGCTAGTAAGTAGCTTTTCTAATAAACAAGATATTTTCTTTCTTTTTTACTTTCTCTATAGGCTATAATAGATTTTACCTTAAATTTCTCTTTGCCCTTAATCTTAATCGGCTCTGGTTTTACTATAGTACTAGCTTGCGGGTATTATGGTTCTAAGAAGAAAACGTAAAAAATATTATGGATCTAATATAATAGTAATAATTTCAAGTAATATACTTATTTATATATTCCTATAATTTCTAGAACTTTAAAAAAGTCAAGATATCTATTTACTAGCTTTATACTAGGTTATAGCTATTAAATATTCTTTATATAAAGCATAACTTTATTATATATTTTGAACTCCTTATTAATATATTTCTTATTATAGTACTTTTTTTATATATTTACTATTTCTTACTATTATTTCTCTAGTACTTTTCATTTTACTTAAATTCTTTATATTCTTTCTTATATTACTAGTACTTCTTTTTCTGAAATATTATTCTTAATATATAATTTAATATTAGAATGAAATTTATATAAGATATAGAATAGGGATATTTCTATTATTAAATATATGAAATTATTATATATAAATTTTATAAGAATAAGCTTTATTATCTAGTTATTTTACTAGTAGCTAGTATAATACTTCAAGTATTATTTTAGAGTTTAGTTTAGATTCTCTATTTATTTATTAGTTTATAGGTAAAATACTATACTTAGTTATTATTAAATCTTTAAGTAGAAATATAAACTTAACTAGAACTTATTTATAAAAATAGATCCTTTATTAGAGGTTATACCCGCAGGTATACTAAAGTCTTTAATAATATAGTATATAAATAGTTTTGCTAGCTTAGGAGCCGAGATTTTTTTAATAGTCGGAATATATTATACTATTTTTATATACCTAGTAATAATAATAAGTATAGAATTATATACTTTACTATAAAACCTAGAAAGAAGTAATCCCGTAATAAAGTTTATAGTAATTTCTTACTATAGCTTAGAGAAGAGGAAAAATGAACTAAGTATACTATATAGTAAATATTTCTTTACCTTAGTTTATTAATATATAAGACAAGTTCTAATATAGTCTTTTATATTCTTTTTTATATTTTACTAGAAGTACTTTTTCTAGAGAATCTCTAGTATCTTACTAGTACCAAAATGCCTATTTATAGGATTATTATAGTTAGCTTATAATAATTCTTTTTTAAGAGCTAGCTTATTTAGTATATAGATAGTACCCTAATATCTTAATAACCCAGATATATTAAGTTCCTAAGTCTTAATAGCTCTAGTAAAAGTTCCCGTTAAGAACTATTTATATTACTAGTATTATACTAATAAATTAAGCCTTTAGTACTATAATAGTAATTTAAGTAATATTTCTTTATTTTCCTTATATACTATTTCGGACCTAGTTACTTATATAGCTAGAATTCGTAATATATACTATTTATAACTAGCTATACTAGTAATAGGCTCAAATAATAGTATCTCTAGTATTATTCTATTACTAAAATAAACTTCCTTTTTGGAATTTCTTAGTATCTCGCTAATTAAGAAGTACCTATTTCCTCTTTCCTGGGCCTTATATTACGGTATTATAGGAATAGTATAGTATCCTATTACTACTACTTATAGGGTTCTCTGTTTTATATTCTATAGCTTATTATAAAATATAAGTAATAAAGTATCTTTATTTATACTTACTATAAAATCTGGCCTTCTTAATAGCTTATTAGCGGGATTACTATATCCCGGCTAGTACTTTAAAATAAAGTCAAAAATAATTAGCTTCTCTACTTATCTTATTTATTAATTATTTAGTTTTCTTTTAGTTATAAAGTATTTTAAGTTATTATAATCTGTCTTAATAATAATAATATACTGGATATATACCAGGTAATATTACTAAGTATAAAATACTAGAATAATAGCTAAGAGTTTAGAATTATATATCTTATATCTGCTTTTAATTATAGTTATTTTTTTTAAATAAAAAGTAATAGGGTATTACCTGGCTTTTGCCCTCTTACTAAAGAGCTAGGAAATTATATCTATAATTATAAATCCTAAAGCATTCGTTTTTATATGAATTTTTAAGGCTAGATTAAAATAATAAAGAATTAGTACTATTATAAATATAATTTATAGCTCCTTAAAAGCCTTATTTATCTTATTTATCTAGCTAAAATAATATTATAGGTTTCTACTAGTTTTTAATAAATTAGTTAATTCTTTTATTATCCTAAAGTATTTATAAATAAACCTCTAGTAAAAGTTAGTAAAACCTAGAAATACTTGAATTTCCCGGATATTATTCTTTAAGGCTAGCTATTTTCTAATAGCTATAATCCGGCTTGCTTCTATTTTCATATTATCTAGGCTAATTATAAATTCCAGGAACTTTATTTTCTCTATATTAAACTCGTATTTTGCCAAGTTTATAAAGAACTAGTATTACTATAACTACTCGAGTATATATTAGACCGCTATTATATACTATTTTGGGTTCTCTAAATAAATTAAAATATTATCTAGATAGATTATATAAATAATATTTATAAGGCTTACTAGTATATAGTTAATATATACCTGGAATATTACTAGAGTATTAGATAATCTAAAGAATATAATATAATACTTAAAATATCTATAGTATATTTGAAATATTATTTTTTATTTATTACCCTCCCGTATTTATAACTAATAATAAGTATTTTTTAAGTCTAGCTTTATATATATCTTTGCTTTATAAAGCCTATTTATTATCTTACTAATAAGTAATAATAGTATTTGGTTCTTAATAATAATTCTATTTAGATCCCGGTAATTAATATATAAATATAGGCCGCCTCCTTTTTTTAGAATAAATATAATTAGGATACTAGCTAGGCTAGTAAAATAATAAATCTATTTCTTTTCTAAACTAGTATTAAGATATTCCTAAAAGACTT